TCTCTCTCTCTGTCTCTGTCTCTCTCTCTCTCTCTCTCTCTCTCTCTCTCTCTCTCTCTCTCTCTCTGTGCGCGTGTGTGTCTGTCCGTTTGTGTGTGCGTGCGTGCGTGCGTGCACGTATGCCAATCGGTTGTCTGCAACAATTCAACCCACAGGATGAAAACAAACCCTCCACCTTGAACAGAGCCAGTGACAAACGACACTACCAAACCATCCTTCTTCTCCCTCCCAACTGCCTTAGCGGCCAAATGATTCGCCCACAGCAACAACAAGCATTGTGACGCAAGCCGTGTCACATGACAGTCACAACGCAAGCCGTGTCACATGACAGTCACATGGCCATTCAGCAAACGTCACTCCCTCACTGTGGAGAAGCGGAAGTGTCCCAGCCGCGGCCGGCGAGCGTGAAACTCAAGACGAGGAGGACTCAAATTGCCATTGTCTTGGCAACATGTTCGTCTCGTTCAGGGTGTGCCCTTCTCTGTAACTAGAACCAGGAATCCGCTTAAAAAATTTCTGTCACTTAATTGCAAGTTGGAAACACAGAAGCTTCGTCGGGGGACAGTTTAAAGAAACGCATAACCAGAGTGTTGAACCCGTGGAATACATAATTATAATACAGTCGTGAAATATTCTATCGAGTTGAACCCGTGGAAAGACATAATCTAGTCGTGAAATATTCTATCGAGTTCAACGTGTGGCAAGACATAAGCAGTATCTTTTGTCGTCGGGGAAAAGTGGAAAGAAACTTACTGTAGTGGTTTTGAGCACGTAGAATTGCCGAATTCAACATGACAAAAGCATCGTCCTTCTTTGTCAGAGAACAGTTTTGAAAAGAAACACACCACAATAATAGTATTGAGCCCAAAGAATTCACAATACACTCGAATATTGTTTTGTTTGAGAAAAGGGCAGCACAGCGACACTAGAGCTTGGGAAAAGTGCAAGACATGATAAATAGAAACCACAGACGGAAAAAAAGATGTATGGCCTACCAGTGGCGCCCTCCCATCTCCCAAACGTTTATCTTATGTAAACTTTATATATCGGTTTCAACATGTTTGAGTAAGCGGAGGTAGAGACACAATTCATTTGACAGGCTTTGGAAGACAAATGTATTTGTTTGTTTTAGTTGAGGTTTTACGGCGCTCGCAACTGCATAAGGTCATATGAACGCCAAGGGGTGGATGTCAACAGAGAAGTCCTTACAAAAGGGAATCAGGCCTCCTCTACTCACCTCTCTAGCTTCAACAGCACAAAGTCTGCTTCGACTACCAAGGCACCCCGGAAATAGTGGGTCACAAGAGAGTGACAAACATACAAAAGAAGTAAAGGAAAAATGACGATGGGTAAGG